ATGTGAATATGACTGAAAAAATTCATTTTTTTCTGGAAAGGTGGTGTCTGTTTACTTGTGACCACGCTGTGTACTGTATTCTCATTATCTTTCTCAAGTTATCAAGTGTAAGCCCTAAAATGTTCGAAATCTGGCCGAGCATTCAAACTATGTAAAGTATAAAACGTAATAAGAAAAGACTATCAGCAGTGACAAAGAGACGCGTTAAGTTGACAATTTTTATTGTAAAACACTAGTATTTTTCCAAAGATTAGAACAGTATTAAAATAATTTATGAAACTTATAATTAAGCTTGTAATGCTTATTGCTTTCCAGCTTCCATTGTTATGAGTGTAAAAAAAAAGAGTTTCTGACTTCTCAATTGAAGGAATTTGCCAGAATAGAGCACAAACGTTTCCTTCACTTTAGGGTCCGGCATGGCTAGCTGGTTAGGGCGCACGACTCGCAATCTGAGGGTCGCGGGTTCGAATTCCCGTCCCACCAAACATGTTCGCCCTTTCAGCCGTGGAGCGTTATAACGTGACGGTGAATCCCACTCTTCGTTGGTAAAATAGTAGCCCAAGAGTTGGTGGTGGGTGGTTACTAAATTAGGGACAACTAGCGCAGATAGCTCTCGTGTAGCTTTGCGCGAAATAAAAAAACAAACAAATCCTTCACTTTGCTTATTAAACTCACTCTTAGAAACATTTGACGTCAACACCTCATATGTCACAAATGACACAACTTCAAATATACTAAATTTGAGTGATTTTCTGATTAGCGTCATAATCGATTGAAGAAAGTTCGTCCAAAATAATTATTCTATAAACTTATAAAGGGTAAAATTTAGTTTGACTGCCCAGATAAAGTGCGTGGATTTTTTTAGTTTAGTTCTAGTAATGCCAATCTCAAATATTTATGTATAGTTCTAGAATGTTGCGAGTTTCACAAAAACTTCTAACTCTGAAAAGCTAAGCTTCGTATATCTCTTTTTTGCAGCGCAGACGATCAAATCGACAGCACTTACAAGACCAACGTAGTTGTGCGCCACAACGGTAGCTGCACTTACATTCCCCCAGGTATCTTCAAAAGCACGTGCAAAATTGACATCACATGGTTTCCTTTCGACGATCAAAAATGTGAAATGAAATTTGGTTCTTGGACGTACGATGGGGGTGCTATTGACCTTCGACTGGCCAGCAATGAAGGCGACCTCTCTGCATTTATTAGCAATGGTGAATGGGAATTAATTGGTAAAAATATATTATTTTAAACACTTGAAACCTTGAGAAAGATCACTGAATTTCAATATTATAGTAAATAGTGTCGTATATTACTGACTTATATTATCAAATTTATTTCACTTCATTTTTTTATAATGCAGAGTGAGTATATTAATAGTTTTCTTACAAGACTACGATCATGGCCGTGCCTAAGTTAATAGCGTGCTCAAACTGTACATATAAGGATTCATGATTCACAACTGTTGGTTCAAAAACCAGCTTCACACAATTGGGTTGTGGGTGCACTGTAAGAGTGAAGGTCAAATCCCACTACTTGATTAGACAAGAGTATCCCAAAAACTGGTTGTAGATGATGTTGACTAGTTGCATCCCTTCTACTCCATCAGCTCAAAATTAGGTTCTGCGCGAAAGTTCTGAAACACTCAAACAACTTTGATGTAGCTTTGTGCGAAATCTTGAAAGATAGGGAAAAAACATTAATAAACTTACAAGGCCTAGAGATTTAAAGAACGAGTGATATGAATCATTAGTTTTTATGCTAATACGGTCGTATCACCATCAGTATTATGCTACAGTGATAGCTTTTTTACAACTAAACACCACGAATAAAATCAACTAGTAAGATTGTCATTAATTTCTAAAAAAAAAGTCAGTAAATGCAATAACATTAGTAGAATTTCATGTGTTCTAATGACCTGAAGGCTCGAGTTTTGTTAAATTACAAAGGCCTTCGAATTTAAACGTCATAATAGTTGTTTTGGTTTTAATAACGGATTTTCCATAATTCAGCTACACAGATTTGGAAAATATTGCTCATTTTTTTCCATCACGTAAGGATTTTTTACAAATCGGAAAGAAAAAACTCTTACTTAGATCAAATTATTATTTCGTTTACCAAAATGAAAATTTTTTTATTAAAGAAAAGGGAAGAACATTGATGTCAAACGAATATGCATCCTCATTCATTCTGATTTTTTATGCGTGTGAAATATACGTCTTTTAGTCTGAAAACTACATGTTGTGGTCTTTCTTTTATGTATTACATTATGACGTTTTGTGAAAAATCTGTACGTGATGGAGAAAAAATGGATATACAGGACTGTGTTAACTGAGAAAAATAATAGGTTTAACTTTCCAAATGCAGTGAGGCGGGATTTTTAGAGCAGATTTCTGCATGTTATTAGTTAAGTGTTTCTCTGTACTTGTGAGACCTGCGACCAAGTGTAATTTGTGATTTTGAATTCCTTTCTTGAAATTGTTCATAGAAAAAGGGAATTTAGGCTTTACAAATCTAATTGATAAAGATAGAAATTACTTCACATTATTTCCCATTTTTGCATATAAGATGTCCAAAAAAGACTGGATAAAAATATCCTTTCATGACAATGTCATAATGTATGCAATTGTTGGTAAACATCCTGCTGTTTAGAGTTGATTTGCCATTCAATCTCTCGGTTTCAATCTGTCTGTAATGCTAAGTTCATGTATAATATTGAACTAAATCTATACTTGAAAGCAAAAAAGATAGAAGCTTCCATAACATTCCCAAGCTACAGTATGACGAATACGATACCTTTAAACACTGTTATAAGGGTTAATATGGCATATCGTTAGTTACAATAAGTAAAAACATGTACATGTTATAATGTGACATATCGTTAGCTACAAAATGTAAAGACATATACACTGTAATAAGGGTTAATGTGGCATACCTTTAGTTGCAATAAAAATAAAGGAAACTGTAATAATGGTTAATGTGGCATATCATTATTTGCAAACAATAAAAAAAAACGTACACTATAATAATGGTAAATGTGGCATGCAATTAGTTATAAGAAATAAAAACACATACAATGAAAAAGATTTAGTGTAACATACTATAAACTACAAGAAGTAGAAACATATACACTGTAATAAGGGTTAATGTAGCATACCATTAGCTAAAATAAGTAGAAAAATATACACAGTAATAAGGGTTAATGTGGCATACCATTAGTTACAAGAAATAAAAACATGTATACTATAATAAGAATTGAGTGGCATGTTATAAATTATAAGAGAAAAAAAAACATGTACACTGTTATAAGAGTTAGTGTGTCATACCTTTACTTAAAGGAAGTAAAAACATCTACACTGTTATAAGAGTTAAGTGGCTTACCATAAGTTACGAGAAGTAAAAACATGCACACAATTATAAGGGTTAAGTGGCATACTATTAGTTATAAGTAAAAACATGTAGACTGCTATTACGGTTGATGTGGCATACTCTTAGTTACAAGAAGTAAAAACATGTACACTGTTATGAGTTAAGTGGCATACCATTAAACAAGAAGTAAAAACGTGAAGGCTATTATAAGTATTAAGTGGCATATTATTAGTTACAATAAGTATAAACACGTAATCTATTATGAAAATTAGTCTGTTAAACCATTAGTTACGATAAGTAAAAGCATATACACTGTTATTTCCCCGAAAGGGGGCAATTTCTACTGTCGTGATGTCAGTAAAACGTGTGCATGCCACGAATCAGGAGAAGAATTATGCAATCTGTAGGCTACAACACAACATGACATATGAATTTCAAAAGCCAGAAGTAACGATATTTGTTATTTTTAATTTTAGTACTATTTACTCTTGAAACAGAACACTTTCGGGGTCCCTGCAGAAGCACATATAGTATTAATAATTTCGGGTAATTGTAAACATATTTTCAATGTAGTGATCTTTCCACAAGAAGAAACGAGTCTCTGTAATTGGTATGGGATTACGCTCCTTTGTGACTCAAAATTAAAATAATTACTTACTAGTACAACGGTCTTTAGAAAATTATTTGTTTGGTTATACGTGAAATTAATTAACAGTCGACTCTTCAAAGTTCAGTCTGAATGAATTGTATTCTGAAATATAGTGTTCCAAATTTCCTCACATTAATTCGAAAATATTACAATGTATTTTGTCAAGCGAATTTAATTTGTTCATCATTTCGGAATCTGAAATTAGTTACTGTTTTATAAAGGTTTTTTGTTGTTGTTGTTTTTACCACCCACATGTACATCTTTTTCCTGTTCTGAATTTTGAGATTTGTTGGTAATGTGCTTCATAAAATGTCATTCATTCCTGATGATAGAAACTACTCGGTGAATTTTATTGAGACAGTTGACTTGCAATTATTTATTGTTAAAAATCTATACCACATGTATACATTGTTCCCAATTCTAATTGTTTTAGTCGTTAAATATTTAAAAGTATTAAGTATTTATTCTTCTTAATTGAAAATACAGTAAACAGGAATTGAATATATTGTTTAACTCATTACTTGAATCTTTAAGAATAATATTTAAGCTGTAAATTTCAGTATTCCATAATTCGATCTATTCTTGTGCTTCGCTTAGTTTTGTTGAAACGCTACTGAATTTTGCTATAAAAGCGTTAACAAAAAAGATGTAGCTGCAATTATATTGTTAACACATAAAATCTTTACTCATTCAAGTATATGACACAAATATTGTTCAAGAAATAGACATTTACGGGATTGTCTTCCAGCATTACAGACAAACAAACATATTTTACTACAGAAATGAATCCGGTGTCTAATTGCATGTTGAGTCTATTCATTTGAAGTTTTTTTATAATCTGTTTCATAACATGACTGAAAATTAACACAAGCATGTTTCACGTAACAACAATGCTAGAAAGACGAATAACTTCAGGCATCACCTACAGCATTCTAAAGATCCACATGCTTCCTACGATATTTAAAAGCTGAGTGGAACTCTTAGAGGACTAGTAACTAACTTGCCTTTTTGGTTGTTTCAGTTTTAAACGAGTAGCAAGAAAAGTTTATGATTTAATTACATTTCGTCTTATATCGTAGTGTAAACCTGGAAATGCTGTCTATATGTTTATTTGACTAAAAGTTACATATTATAAAACCAATTGTGTAAAAAAATCAAATATATAAAACTCAAATTATCTTTACTTTTATTCAAAGAAACCTGACTGACATATGTTTGAAATATCGATAGACAATTTTGTATACAATCCTTTCCACACGAGAAGGGCTACATATTAAAACCCTGCTTATGCTCATATGGTTTCTTCGAGTTTCAATTTAACATGACTTCATTTGAGCATTAAGATCATTATATCAATCCTTTTTCGTTATTTTACTTCGGTTATTAAAAGCGTTCTGGTTTAGCAAGTCTGTTGATTGATTTTATATTTCATATTGGGTTTCTTCCTTGCAAATAGAACCGTCTATAGTTACAGTAAAAAATGGACTTTGCCATTTGTATAAATACTGTGATTAGTTGATATTTTATTCCTAGATAAAACCATTCTGATCAAATAAAGCTGGAATTTCTCTTGACTGCATAATTTAACTTTTTACGGAAAATATGAAGAATCACACAAAGACTTTTTAATTCAGCGGAATATCGTGATTTTGTTGAATACCTTTAAACGACTCCTAAGTTATGTCTGCTTTGTAATTTCTTTGATATTTTCTTACATAATCTCTATCTCGGTTTGATCTGCTAATCTGAAAATTGTCATTTTTTTTTACTTGTTCTGAAAAATCTTATGCACGTATAACATAAGAAAAGAAAAAATCCTAAAACTGGTATCTTGCCTGAATAAAGTTTCTCAAATTCTCTAAAAAACCAAGGAAAATAAGTCGTGAACAATTGATTAATAGAGCAGAAAAGGCAAAGTAAAATTATCTTGTCAGGAAAGTTAAAATTATGTAGAAGGGGAAAAGTAAGATTTTATCGCTTGATGAATTTTATATTACATTAAAGCAGTCACTGATGTCTAACACATTTTCACGCATGATACCACTTACCATTTTTACGTGTAATCACATGCCTATAAAAAATTCCCGAGTCAAGTTAACAATAATAAAAAAATTATTTAACGAATTTTCTTTTTATTTATGAATGTACCAGTTTTAGTTTTAGAAAAAAAACTATATATTTCCCATTATGGATATGATTATGCAATACCGATTTTTATGCCACGAAACTCGTTAAACCATCTGATATGAAATGTACTATTTTATTAACTTTTTAACGTATTTTTGTATGCACCTCTTCAGTAACATTAGTTTTGGTATTTGTTTTTGACAGATAGCTACATCTGGTTGTTCTTCTGCTCATGATAGATCTTTTTGTAACATCTTGCACGCGTCTGTATCATCAATCTTCTGTCACAGCCATCAGACTAGTTAACTTTAATTTATGAGTTTGACAAAAAATTGCTATTGCCATTTCAATTACATATGAAACAAAATGTTTCAAAGCAATGAAAATGCAACTCAACCAAACTGTAGAAAAAGTTACACAAAGTGATTAGTTTGTTCGTTTCTATATCGGACCATAAAAATCACTGTCGCAAAATAACTTGTGTTAGTAATGCAGAATGAAAACTATTATTTCAAGGTATCTTGTAAACATATTTTATTCTGTGATTGTTTAGAACTTTTAATATATCTTACAGACGGAAAACGTTAAGATACATTGTTTTCATGTCGCATCCAGGTAAACCCCAGAATATTTATATAACAGAAAAAGCGCATGTTTTGCTCTAGTCTTTGACTCCAGGAAGGACATGTAATGTAGAATAATGTCTAGCGTATTTCCTTATCTTTTTTTTAGAATTAGTATTGGAAATGATCTGCGAATAGTACTCACAGAATCTGATTTCGTCCCTTGATATTGTGATTTGGAGTATTTCTCTTTGTATCTGGCACTCCAATTAAACTTTGATAAGATTATAAATCATCATTCTAATATGCATATGCAAATATTATTTTTGATAACCAGATTTTATTAGACTTCTTTAGTTATCTTTCTATATAGTTGCTTTTTTCTTAGATTTGTTTTTCATTTTGATTTATTTATTTGTAATTTTATTTTCAACTATTTCTAACAATATCATTATTTCATTTCTTGTAAATCTTATGTACCATTAATCTGATATCTACTCCATATTTTCTGGCGCACATAAAACGACAGAATATTTAATTATATACAAAAAACCCACAGGGGATAATATTATAATGAAAATACCTTCATTTCTTATGGTGAACGTCCTACTAGTGCTTGTCGATTTTATTTTTTATATTTTTGCTGCGTTATGAACTTTGCTTTCTTTTCTGTTTTCCCATCCCTTGTTTAATACTTTCTGCTTTTTTTTCTAACCTTTCGTTATGTTCGATAAAAGCTGTTTTCGTTTTCTTGTGTACATGTATTCCTGTTTGTTCTCTAATCCTGTTTTTGTTTTCTGTATGTTTGTGAATTTCAGAGGTTCCTGGCAAAAGAAACGTTATATATTACGCTTGTTGTCCAGATCCATACGTTGACATCACTTTTGTCATCCACATTCGTCGTCGAACTCTTTATTACGGGTTCAACCTAATCGTTCCCTGCGTGCTCATATCGTCGATGGCTCTTCTAGGATTCACGCTGCCCCCTGACTCCGGAGAAAAGCTCACGCTAGGTAAAAACTTGTAAGGAAAAGTTTCGTTCAAATTGGTCAAAATACATTTTGTTCACATAAATTAAAAGCGGGTTAAGCGAAGTGAGGCAGCTCTTTTACAATTTTAAAGTTGTCCTGTGACTCCTAACGACACTACACAGGTAGACCTAAACAATCTTCCTGTGACTCCTAACGACACTACACAGGTCGACCTAAACAATCTTCGATCATATATCATTTTACAACGTTTGAATAATTGAAAAGATAAAATTTTTGGTGTAGATTTAGTGATAAGTGTATCGTTCCATTTATTTCCTTATAAATCCAATCTACGATCATAGATTTTGATGACTTATATTATTTTTGTTATATTATGTTCCGTTATATAAAGATATATTAACAAAGAATTTAATATAATTTAATAAAAAAACAAATTACATATTGCGTTGTCTTAAAAGTACTTTTTTACTATTTTTCTTTGTATGGAATCCTACATAATTATTTGAAGTAGTTGTGATTCTCTAATAATGAGTATAAAAAATTAAAAATCTCCTGTTGAAAATTTGTATGATATTACTGTCTACCCATAGTATACATTAACACACACCTAGAGCTATGTTGTACGCTATGAGGTAAAATTGAAACTATACAGCTTAGCATACATTAACATTATTATTGTGTAATTATTTGCAATATGGCTCAGTGCAAAGTGGATGAGATATAAAAAAGCTTAAAAAAGGATGTTTATCTTTTAGCAAAATCAATTATGAAATATCAAAAATAAACCATTGTTCTGAAGCACACATAATAAATACTATTTGAGGTGTGGTTAAACTAAAACACATCGTTAACAGTTACAGTGTACGAAAATCATTCAATTCATTTTAATCATTACTTGTTTTGTTTTCTTGTGTATTGATCCATTTCATTGTGTTCTTCTAGTTAACGGATTTCATTAATTTACATGTACGTGTTTCTTCTGATGTAAACAGTTTACTTAGAATTGATCAGGAGCTCTTCCTACTTCCAGTGTTTGTTTACGTGTCACATTCTAGCAAAAAAAATGTAAAAATTTCAATAAACTTAAAGATAAGGAGAAGAGGTTAAAAGGCCTTCGTTTTTTACAAAAGTAATATGCGTTAATGAAACAAGCTCCGTGATGTAATTTACATATTGATCTTTATTAGGAAAGTTCATTTAATTTTAGTTATATGACAATGACATTCTATATACATGCTTGGTGATAAGGAGATATTCACGGTATTTTCATTATAATGTAAAGACATTTTATTAATTCGAATGTATGTAAAATATTTATTGTACACCTTCATAATTTATGAATTCGTGAATACATTATTTTGAACTCTCGTTCTTCATGCTAGTTTTGGCTTATGCTTGTGTATAAGTCTATCGATAGCTGGCGTTCTAAACAGTAATTTATTTTGTTTGTTTCTTTGTAGTTAAGCACAAACTTTACAATGAGCTACCTGTACTCTGCCCACCACGGGTATCGAAACCCGGTTTCTAGCGGTATAAGTCTGCAGACATACTCGAGTGGAGTGCAATAACTGTATGTTTTAGAAAAAAATCCACATTGAGTTACCTGCTGTGCCCACCGCGGGGAATCCAACCCTGAATTTTAGCGTTTAAATCCATACATAGACTTATCGCTGTCCCACTGGGGGCCAGTAATATATATCTTAACAATAGTTTTCCTATCCTGTGTACGTTGGTTTACATTAAATTTTATGTTTTTATTTCAGGTGTAACAATCCTCTTGTCTCTTATGGTATTTCTTCTTCAACTAGCTGAAACCATGCCACCAACTTCAGACGCAGTATCCATTATCGGTGAGCTTAAGATGCATGTAGCAGTATTTAAATAATGATGATTTTGTTATCAGATTAAATAATAAAAGGGAAAGGGAAGAAAATGTTCTGGATTAATGATCATGTATCAAAGCAACACCAAAACATTCATTGTGAGATAAAGCTGAGACGTTTTGTAAATAGAAAAAAGAAGAAAAAAGTTTAATAACATATGGGTAATTATAAAAATTATCAATATCAGGGCTAAAACAACAAACGTTCAGCATTACTTTGTTTGTTTACAGCTACCAATATATAAATAGACTTATTCTAGAAAGTATTGTTTGTTTGTTTTTGGAATTTCTAGCAAAGCTACTCGAGAGCCATCTGAACTAGCTGTCCCTAATTTATAAAGGATAGAATAAAGCGAAGGAAGCTAGTCAACACCACCCACCGTCAACTCCTGGGCTATTCTTTTATAAACGAAAAACGGGATTAACCTTCACATTATAATGGCCCATTGAAAGGGCGAGCATGTTCAGAGACAGCATTCGATCACGAGCTCTGCAAATTGCAAGTCGATCGCCCTAACCACCATTTAGTGCCAGACTACTCTATAAAGAATACCATTTTACTAAATAACCAAACATGGAACAATGGGTACGAGATTACCATTAGTATTTAGTGGATCTGCCATTTACAATATATATATATAGCAAAAACATGATTATATATCACATATCCAAGATCTGAACTACTGAAGAAGAACTTGGATGATGTCCCTAAAAGTTGGCTATTTGCTAGCACACTACTCCATAGGGTTCATATCCTGCGATTGGTAATGCCTCGACCTTCAAATATTTGTTTTGTGACTCGAATTGAATGAGTATAAATCCAGCATTGCATCAAAATACCGTCTTGTCTGGTAAGATGGCCATTGGCGTAGACAGATATCAATAATGACCTTCCCTACTTATACCACCAGTTATGATCGGCCAGTAACCTAAATAGCATCAATACAATAACAAAAATATCAACGTATTTTGTTTGGCTTACAAACGGTTCTACGAAAATTTCTGGGTTCATAATCGCCAAGCTCAGTTGCGTTCACTATCTGATAATTTTGTGAATCTGGATTCGTTGGAAGCAATTACAGTGTTGCAAAATGGAGAAGAATACAATATTATTTGTGATGTCCACTGCTATTGATGTACGATATTGCCTGGAATGATGAGTGGTTTCATCTAGCTACTCTTGCTTGTCCTGTGAAGGTATCTTCTGATGGTATATTGAGACACACTTGCATCTGACCTGCAACTAGCAACCATTTTGACGTATAGAAAATTTTCCACGTGTATTCTCACAGCTCAAAAAAAAAAAATCATTCGTTTCGTGTTGGACACCCGAGCTAAGAAAAACTGTTATTTTCAGACTTGACTAAAACTACATTGTCAATCTGTTCTCTTTGAACAACGGTACTGCAAGTAATCTGACGCTTTCTCCCATCATCAAACTATTCGACCTCCTAAAAATACGGATATTCTCTGTATATGGCATCATGTAGTTGGTCGATTTGTATTCTCAGTGGTGTCTATTTACTTATTGGTACGCTGTATAAACTCCTTTATTTTATTTCATTCCGGTATGTAGCACTTCTTTTTACATCCTCGTCTAGGTACGTATTTCGCTTGCATCATGATGATGGTAGCTTTTTCTGTCGTCATGACAGTGGTTGTACTGAACTACCATCACAGAAGTCAGGACACTCACGAAATGCCAGCTTATGTAAGTGTTTCCCTTTCCTTTTTGTATATATTTATATAAAACGTACTTCTCGATTTTATTGGATTTCTGCCTGCAGTGTCCTTTATGTTTTGTCAGAGTATATTATTTTTGGTGTCGTAGTCTCCTTAGTCTGACAATATATTTCCCTTTTATGATTATATATTTACGTTTGCATTTAAGTAATGTTAAGAACTAAAATAAAATAAATATTTTAAAACTAAACATTTCCAACATTAATCTATTGCACTCACATTCGTTTGCGTTAGTTTTCATTATTCATTAGGATTGTCCTCATGGTTAATGAATAAAAAGCAAACATCAGTTTCAAAATAATAGAACAAGCATGCATTCCTGGTTAAAATGTTTGTTTATTTTAGAGCAAAGCATGTTAGACTATTTACTGTATCCACCACATGGAATCGTACTCCGGCTCTTAGCGTTGTACGTCCGTGAACTTGCTACTGTCCCACTGTGGGACCATTGAAATGTCATTAAGTTAGGTTTGTTTGTTGTTATGCACAAAGCTACACAATGAGCTATTTGTGCTCATCCCACCGTGTATATTGAAACCCAATTTTTAGCGTTATAAGCCCTCAGTCTTATCTCTGAATCACATGGGGACCATTACTTTAAGAAGTATAATAAAAGTTGGAAAAACAGTTTGAAACTGATAAAAAGTATGAGAATGGAAGAAAACTTCAAAATTTATCATAAGAAACATTTCAATGTAAAAACATACATTTATAAAGTATAGTGATTTGTAAAAGGTATTGGAGCATTGAATTAGATAAAACAAAAATAATGAATCATTAAAACAAAAGTATTGTATTTTTCATACTTACCAAATTATGTAATATATAAAGCTGAGTTTGTGTCTGTTTGTTCGCACCTTTCAGCTATCTGTTCCTTATACGTTTCCACATTTCTTGATCAATCAGCATCATCTTGACACAGTGCTACAGGATGACATGAGGAAGGTCATGAAGGGATAGGGGCTGGACCCCATCTTTTATATAAATAAACGTCAATATGTGTGTATCTGTTCCTTATACGTTTCCACATTTCTTGATCAATCAGCATCATCTTGACACAGTGCTACAGGATGACATGAGGAAGGTCATGAAGGGGTAGGGGCTGGACCCCATCTTTTATCTAAATAAACGTCAATATGTGTGTATCTGTTCCTTATACGTTTCCACATTTCTTGATCAATCAGCATCATCTTGACACAGTGCTACAGGATGACATGAGGAAGGTCATGAAGGGGTAGGGGCTGGACCCCATCTTTTATATAAATAAACGTCAATATGTGTGTATCTGTTCCTTATACGTTTCCACATTTCTTGATCAATCAGCATCATCTTGACACAGTGCTACAGGATGACATGAGTAAGGTCATGAAGGGGTAGGGGCTGGACCCCATCTTTTATATAAATAAACGTCAATA